GAAAGGCTTGAATGGCGCCGCGACTCCCCGGGAAAAGCTGGGAGGCGAGCGGGCGGAGGAACGAAGCGCCAGGGCGCGGGGCTGGGCGCCCCTCACAGCTTGCCTCCGCCCCCGCCATTCCGCACTGGTCGGGGTAAGGGGAGGGGGGCGGGGAGGGGGGGGAGCCGTGCTGACGTCACTGCGGGCCGTGCCCGCCCGAGGAGGCGGCGCTGGGAGCCGCTCAGAGACCCGAGAAGCCACGCACCGCCAGGAGCCCCCCGCACCGCGGCCACCGTGCCCGCCTCCCGCGGCTATCGGCCGAGCGTCCGCCTGGGCAAGGGTGCCCGGAGAGCGCCGGAGCCGGGCATGAGCCCGGGAACGCGCCCGATGAGGGGCCGCGGAGCTGCTACCCCCGCCGCCGCCTCGCGGGGCCCCGGCCCCCTTCCCGGTCAGTAAGTGCTGCTGCCTGCCGTGTCTCCGTGAGGCTGGGGAGCGGGTACTAGGGCGCGAGCGGTAGCCTTGGCTAGGGCAGCCTTAGGGGGCTGGTCTGGACGGGGAGAGGGGGCTGGGGTGAGGGGTGTGCTCTGAAGGCGGGTGGAAGGCAGGGCTCAGCTTCTGGGAGCTGACCCGTCTCCCCCAACAAATCGTCAAGGCCAAGGTCAAGGGTCGCGGGGCAGCGGGAAGTGCCCAGAGGTGAAGACTTCGGATGTGTAGAAAGGGGAGGGGCGCGGAGCCCGATGGAAGTTGTGGGGCTGCAGACAGGTTGAGCAGGAAGCCAAGAATGTTTCTGAAGTGAGGTTCCGGCAGTTCTCGGACTGGCCCCCCCTTCCTTGCCTCTGCCCCTAGCTCCCCTCTTCCTTCTCATCCCCTCCCCCACAAAAAAAATAAGGCAGAAAGTGGCTTCCTGGAAAAATATTTTAAGAAATAATGCAACACACGGCACCCACTCTAGACAAGATTTATGGCACGCTTTTCCGCCTCTGTAATGGGAAGTTGCTGGGAAATCCTTTCTGTTCTGCTCCCTCCTCTGTGCCCCAGAACAGGCCTCTTAGGTCCGTTTGAGGGTGTCTCTGCCATCTCCTCCAGTCCAGGCTCCACAGAGCCTGGGAGGAGTGGAGTGGAGGTTGAGGCTGCGGTGAGGGGCTTCTCTGAGAGATGGCTGGGGATGGATTCAGGCTGCCCTCAGGCACCGCAGGGAGGTGGCAGAAACTGAGAGCGGCTGTGGGGCTAAGATCATGGGAGCAATGCATGCATCCAGAAATACAGTCTTTGTGACTAGGGGTAAATTGAGGTGCTGGGGCTGAAAGGGGACCCCTTTTTTTACTCCCCACCCCCATACCCTGGAGGAGGTGGATTCTTCAGCTACAGTGAGGGAGAGGATGGAGTCTGAGGGTCTGGCTTTCCATCAAGGGACAGAGGCCAGAGGTTAGGCTAGGTGGACATTGGGGGGAGAGGTCATGCAAGTTTCCACGGAAGGAGGCCCCATTAGTAATACCAGCTGCTGGAGAGCCCAGAGGAGGGGTGCTGCTCTGCCCAGCCTGGGCCTCCCCAGAACCCACAACCTGGGTGCCTAAGCCTCAGCTTCTGAGGAAAGGGAGAGGCCAGATGTGCAGCCAGGGAGGGCAGCACCGTCCACATATATACATGGAGGTGGCTGTGGAGGTCCTGGGGACCCTGGGTGCAGGAAGCTGGGTCCATCTGAGCTAGTCCGGCGCTGGATTTCAAGACTCCAGACAATAGGAAGATCCGCTAAATCAAAGCTTGGGCCTGAGGAGGGAGCAGGGACGGGCGAGAACAGTGGGGAAAGGGCCCCCTGGCCGTGGCCCAGGTTATGATTGGAAACCTATCTCCCAATTCAGGCCCAGAGGGGCTCAGGAAAGGAGTGGTAGTCCAGGCTGAATGTGAGGTCCAGACTGGAGCTTGGGGAGCCATCAGTCTCAGGCTCCAAGCCTCTGGATCAGGGCAAGTCTCGTCTCAGGATACTGGATGCTTGCAAAGGGCTGTTGGCTCAAGTCAGAACTGCCCACTCTCCTTCCACGTAACCCCTTAACTCAGCGTGTCCTGAAATGATGGGTTGTCACAGCCCTTGCACTGAGTTGTGTAACCAACAGGAAACAGGAACTTGGGCCAACGCCAACTTGGAGCCCTGGCAGCTGAGGTTGCCAATGGGTACAAGAGCACTTGTGTACACCTGTGTGTTTATGGGCAAGGTATCTGCCACCTGCCTTAGGTCGGCCACTGTGTTTAGGCCAAGTGTGTGTGTGTGTGTGTGTGTGTGTGTGTGTGTGTGTGGTGGTGGGGTGGAGGTTGCCGGTTGTGTGAATCTGAAGGGGCACAGGGCACATGTGTGGCTACAGCAGGACTAGGCATTTCTGTAGAAACACGTACCGGAGTCCAGGAGCCTGTATGTCGTTGGGTGGAGGTTGTGTTTGAATATGAAAAATGGAGTCTCTGGCCCTCAGTGGAGGCACCTGGCGGGGAAGCCTCCTCTTGAGGAGACACCTGTCTCTGGGGCTCTCTCTCGGGCTCCTGTTCCTTTTCCCTGGTAGCTGCTGGTGCCCCTGGAGCTCAGGTTTGGGACTGTGGGAAAGAAACCAAGGAAGTCCAGGGCAAATGAAGCGGCGGTGGAGAGAGGGGCCTGGCGGGCGACTCTCAGCACCATGGCCAGGGCCTGGCCACCACCGTTGGCACCGCACCGCACCCAGCACTCAGCCAGACCCAGTACCTGCTTTCCCCGCGATCTTAGGGCCTGCTCTGGGGCTTGTAGGCCAAGGCCAGGGGCTTGACATGGGACAAAGAGATAGAACCCAGACGCAGTCCAACACACAGATGAGAGGATGATGGGGGTGGGGGACAGGACTGGAATTGGCCTCCCAAGCAGCCCGCTGCCCTCAGCTGGCCGTGCCCGGCTGACATATATGCCTTTGCCCGGCATCAACCCGGGCCGCTTCCTGGGCCCCTGTCTAACGCCGCGTGTGGAGGCCAGCCCCTAACCTACAGAGAGTGCAGCCAGTCCTGACCCAGAAGAGCAGCCTATTCCCTCAAGGCCACGTCTCACCATGGCCTCCTTCCTGGGAATGGTGCTATGATGGCCGGGCGATGGAGGTGGAGGTGGAGGGGTCGCTGATTCCAGCACAGTCCCACTCAAGCAGGGTGTGGGCGCCTCACCTGTTCCCCACCAAGGGACTCAGTTTCCCAGAAAGGGTAGCAAAGATGCGGCCCTGATGACAGTGGCCTCCCCCATCTGAACTGAATCCAAATCGGGCTTTTAGTTCTTTCTCTCAGAGCCTGCCACCTGCCCTCAGCTTGCCAGTCGGGCCTCCGGCGCCGCTGTGTTACCGTGAGCCTTGCTGAGGAGCCATTTTGTGCAGCATCCTGCTTAAATCACCCTCCGAGGGGCTCCCTCCTGCTCTCTCTTCCCCCTGATCCCACTCTTCCCTCCATCTCTCCCAGGTGAACTGCACTTCTCCGCCTCTTCCCGCCTCCGCAGCCCCACCCTTCCCACCCAGGGTGGCCCAGTAGGACTAGGGATGTGGAGGCCACCCCCACATACACCAAGAAGGGGAGACAGTGCGTTCCCGGGAGCTGCAGGAGGAAAGGAGGCAAGGGGCGCCTCCCAATTATGGTAATCCTTCGGAATTAACTGTCTCAGGCCCAAATTCGGGTGGTTCCTTCCCCAGGGCTACTGCCAGCCTCTCTCTATTTCTCTACTGTTGCCGCTCTGTCTGGCTCTTGACCGCCTTCTAGAAAAGGGGATGTGTATGGAAAATGGGATTTGGAGGGAGATATGTAAACGCCAGGCCTGGTCTGGCACAAGCTGGCTGGGATTGGAGTAGGACACAGGCTGCCTTGCATTTAGGGTCGGGATGAAAACACAACAAAGCTGGCGGGGCAACAGGCACTTGAGAAAATCGGGAACTTGACAAAATGGAGATGTGCCATTTTTAGGGGCGAAGGAGATATTTAGAGAAATCATTAAATTCTTTCCAAAACATCCTGTTTCCCTCTTTGGAACCCATCCTGTGGGGGGTTTGCCTGGCGGACAAGCGGCTCAGCGCCCCAGGCCCAACTAAAATGGACCCTCATGGGTACTTCTGCCCAACCTCATGGTGCTCTGCACAGACCGCAGCAGCAGGAGTCTGGGTGCAGAAAGCCCATGTATTGGCCGCTGAAAGCTGGGAATCCACCTCCCTAGCTCTTGGACTGAATTTTTTTCAGGAGGCATTTGGGAGCAAAGATATCGCATTTTTCCTATTCAATCCTTTGCCTCCCAGGAATGGCTGGTGGGGAAAGGTGAATCCCAGCGCCCAAGGCTGGAGGGCAGCCACAGCATCAGAGGAAGGGGGTGATGGCTGGGGTGAGCAAAAAGGGGCGCCCATGGGCCACTCATCTCTGGAAGGCTGTAATGAGGCCTCCAGGTCTGCTGTCAGGCTCAGTTACAGTGATTCTTGGGGGATTCAGCGTGGCAGCCCCTTTCCCCTGTCGAGCCACTTGCAGTGAGAGGGCCAGGTGTGTGCTGAGAGCCCTAGAAGGAGGCTGAGGCACGGGTCTGTGCTTTCATTTTTCGGTGGAACATGAATTTTACCAGCAGCCTAGTTCGGGCCTAGGACATCTCCAAGGTGCCAGGCACAATCGGCTGTAGGTTCCTAGATGATCTTAGAGAAAGGAGGGACCCAGCAGCCTGGTACTGAGCGCCAGGGCCAGGGCCTGACCCGAGCATAGCATGGCTCGGAACCTCTGCGCGCCAGGGCGTATGCATGGGACACTGACCCGCGCACACCAGGACATTTAATTCCTCCCTGTGCTCCAAGTCTCCGCGCCGTGGGCTGGGTCTACTACAAGATGCTGGGCATGGGAGAGGAAAAGGGCAGTTAAGGGTGAAACAGCTCCTACTCTCGGCTTTCGGCCTCACAAGTGTGCACTGGCCGCCCCAGAGAGACCTTCACCACGCCCCACCACGCGCGTCCCCAAACCTCGTCACCGGAGCTCCCTAACTCTGATGGTCCGTGGTGGCTTCCTAGGGCTTGAGAGAAAACAGAGGAGTTTCGAGGAAAGGCCAGACGGTGCGCAACCGGGCGCACAGCACTTACGCTTTTGAGGGCCGAGGGGCACTGCCCTGCCCTCCGGGAGGGGAAGCCGTGAACGCCGAGGCCATTGTAAGGCTGGGTGGTGCGGAGCGCGGGAAGGGGGCTGGGATTTGAATGGGAGCCTGTGATTGGTTGATCCCTGGACTGACGTCACTTCCCCGCGGGGCGATTAGCCTGCGAGAGGAGGGCTGGCGGGCCAGTGCGCTGGGGGCGGCCCGGGCGCCCGAGGCTGCCGGAGCGCTTAGCGCGGGCGCCCTTAGTGCGCCCGGGGATGCCGTCAGAGCGGGCAGCCGGCGTCGGTGCCCAGGCGCACAGGTCGGGGAGCCGGGAGGAACGCGCTGAGAGGGCGATGGAGGGAGGGAGGCAGGGAGGGAGGGAGGGAACTGGGCGGGGGCTACCGGCCTTGGTGGTGGGAGTCAGTGTGTCTGTGTGTCTGTCGGTCCCCTCTGGCTTTCCGCGTGCGCCCGGGGCTCCGGGAGCGGCGCCCGCTCCGGTCCCGCGCCCGGCGGGCAGTGGCACGTGGGGCCCACCGCGCGGGAGCGGCGGTGGCGAAGGGAGGCCCGTTTCTCTCTTTGGTTATCTAGCTGTATGAGTGCCACAGAGCCGTCATAAAGCTAGATAACCGAAAGTAGAAATGACTCTCACAACTTCTGAGTGCGAGCGCCCGCCCCGCCTGCCGCCCCGGCCCGCACGAGCCAGAGGAGCCCAGAGGAGTTCAGTGCCGGCCCAGCGGACTCGAGCCCGGCGGAGCGGCCGCGCCCGAACCAGGTACCTGACCTCCGCTCTCTCTGGGACACTTTCTGTCCCCTGGAGGAACTTGCCAGCTGTTCCCCCGACTCCTCCTCTATTCCCCACCCCCACCACGTCCCCCAGCGTCGAAGCAGGAACCCCAAAGTAGAGCGAGCCGGGAGAACGGAGGGGGGTGGGGTTGCAGCGGGGTCGCTGGCGGGGAAGGCGCCAGCCTTAGCCTTCACCCCATAAATCAGGCTGGAACAATCCTCTCCCGGAGCCTCGGACGGGGATTTTGGGATGCAAATGCGACGGGAGAGAGACAGCGGCCGGTAGGGGGTGGGGGTGAGGGGGAGTGAAGGGGTGGGCAGGGGGCTGCCCCACCGCTAACAATGCGGCCTTTATCGAATTATTCGACGAGTCAGCCCTGAGCGCCATTAGCATACGGCTTGGGGGTTGCCGGAGCTTCGCCCCTCGGTGAGGTCAAGTTCTTGATAATTTGATCACTTTTCACGGGCTCTGGCAGCTGCCTTTGTGTGCAGTTGGGGGGTCTGTGTGCAGCGTGAAGCGGAGCAGAACTGGCGAGGAGTGAGCTCAATGGCTAGGGGCCGCGGTGGGGGCCTCCCTCCCCGACGGGCCGGCCCTGCCCTGCATACAAACCAAGCGCCGGCGGGTGGGCGGGAGGGACCGAGCCCAGCCCCGAACCACCTCTGCACCAGCCCTGGCCCGCCACTCCCGCCCGCGCCTCCCCAAGTTCCCCGAGTGGTTAAGGTGCAGGCGAGCTCCCGGCAGCCCCTCCTCCTCCCCCCGCCCCAAGTCCCAACATAAGATGTATTACAATGTCTAGCAAATAAAAAAGCAATTGGGGGAAATCTGCATTCCGTTTCCATGGCAACCCAATGCAGCACACCGGGCCACTCAGGCTCCCAGCCCCTCTTAGCTGGGCTTGGGGAGCGGGGCGCACCCTTGCTCGCTACATGGGCATCCGGGCCCCACACAGCGCTGGGGTCCCTCTTGAGGTCTTTATCTGCCTCCAGGTCACTCTGGTCCTCCCTAACACCTCCACTTGTATTGAAGCTGGGGGGCTTCAGTAAGCTTGGGGAACCACCTGGGCTCCCAGGCAAGAGTGGCTGTAGACCCAACCCTGGATCCTGCCATGCCTCAGGGAAGAAAGGATCCAATGTGGGTTCAGAGCCCCCTGATGGTGGTGGGGGGGCTTTCTAGGTATGTGGGAGTGGGAGTGCTATGACAGGCAGGCTGGAAGGGACTTGAGCCACCAACCAGACACAATTCCCTATCCCTTTTATCCCCTTTCCCTTTTATACAGAAAGAAACAGATCGGGAGGCCTAAAGTGACTCCCAGGGTCACACAGCTCAGAAGGTGCAGAGCTGGGCCCAGTTATTGAGAAGGCCCATCATTCCCCGTCCCTACCCAGGACCTGCCCTGTCCCTTGTAATAATAGTCTTTTTTCCATTTTCATTCCTTTAAGCCTTTTTTTTTGGCCTTTGCTTAACAAAATTATTTTGAAAATAGGTTATATGTGTAAAAAGCGAAAATTCAAACAGTACAAAAGGGAAATCTGTTGTCCCTGGGGAGAGGAACTGCCAGGCTGAGCTGGATGGTACAGGGAGACTTTTCACTGTATCACCTTTAAATTTTTGAACCATGTGGATGTGTTAGTTATTGAAAATAAAATTTAAATGAGAAGACAACAAAAGACCAGGCAGGGAAAGAAAGTCAACTGCCCCGCTCTGTCCCCAGTTCTCCCCAAAGATAATCACCAGGTAGGTTTTCATGGATCCCCGCGTGTGTTGTCCCCCCATTTTTAAAGGCCAAGCTCCCCTTTTCCTGGCAGAGGCTGTCAAAGGGTGACTAGCACTAGCGTGTTTCAGGACCCACCGGGCAAGCCCTGGACAGCATCCCCTAGACGGCCCCTCCCTTCCCAGCGCACCTGGGAGCCTGTGCGCAGATCGTGACCTCATTTCGGAGGAAACCGGAGCAGCTCTTCCCACCCCCTCTCCTTGTGCTCCTGCCTCCCTTCCTAGCCAGCTGGCCCTGGGCCTTGGGCTTCCATCTTTCCTTCCCACCATCCCTATCCCTTTGCTATTTTACAAGAAGTAGTCCTACTAGTAGCCCTAGTTTGTGCAACCTTACAGCTGTGTCTACACAGTTCAAATGGGTTTTGTGGTTTTGTATGTTTTTTTTAAACACCAGGATCCCAAATCTTCTGGGTAGTCCTGAAATCTGGGTCCGGGGGAGGAGGAGTCTGAGCCTGGGAGAATGTGGTTTTCTTTCCGCTTTCTACGAAATCCGTTGATGCAAACCTCCCGCGTCATGGAAAGGATGGCGGCAGCAGGGCTTCCGAAGGCAGAGAGCGCTGGAATCCTAATCTCACAGACCCCAACCCATACCCACCAGAAACGGCACTCGGAGAGAGGCCAACCGGCTCGAGTTTAGCCTCCGGATATAAATGCCCGCCCCTAACAGAACCATGTTCAAAAAACCCCTTTGGACAATTGAAGCCCGAGGCACAGGCTCAAAATTGGTGCCCCCACCAACCTCTTCTGGCTTGCCAGGTGGGGGAGCAGGCTGAGCCTTGGGCCTTCTCAGCCCTTCTTCCCGTGCTCCAGGGAGGCCTTCCCCCAACCTCCTCTTAGCCACTCGCTCCCCATGTTTGGGTTTCACTTTTGCGGCAAGTTTGCACTACTCCCCAGCCCCCCCCCACCCAAAAAGGCTTTGGGGAGCCTGACAGCGCAACTGAACGGCAGTTTGGAAGTCAGAATTGGTTGAGATCTCAAAGATGCTCTTCACCCAACTCCTTGCATTTGACATCTATTGTAGAAATAGCGAGCTCAGTAAGGCCCAGTGGTTCGCCAAAGGTTGCCCAGCAAGCCATTGGCCGGGTAGGTGATGAGAGAGGCATCAAAGGCTTCCTTCTCACTGGTCCACGAACTCCCAGCCCTGAACGACTGTTGGACCAGGTATGACTCTGCCCCGGAGAATGAAAAGCTGGCATCACGGATGCCGCTCAAAATCAGGCTGCGGGCGGCCAGCGGCCTCATGCAGGCCGTTCAGGGGAGCTGTCCGCGGCCGCGGTCTGACCTCCGGGAAATGGGACCAGAGCGCGGAGGGAGCCAGGCCGGGAGGCCTCCCAGGGCCCAGCGGCGACGCTGAAAAGCATGAAGGGTCGGAATTAGGCTCTCATTTAGTGAGCGTTACTAATCCGAAGTTACAGCGCTAATTCCCTGATCCGGCCGCTCCCACACGCAGCGCCTGGGATTAGAGGCGCGGCTGCCTCCCCGCCCCGCGCTCACACCCCAACCACGCCTGCCCCGCGCCCTCGGGGCTGCGGGCTCCGCTAATCCGCCGTGCTGCGTGCTGCGTGCTGCGCTTGCCTGGCCTGAAAGTGTCCCGGGGCGGTCCAGGACAGGCAGGGAGGGGTCAGCCCCCAGCCCCTGGACAGCCCCAGCGGGATGTATGCGCCCTCCAAAGCCCAGGCGACACCGGCGCGGTCCCGAAAAGCCGCCCCGATTTCTCCAACCCCGGTATGCGCACCCACAGCGGCGGTCCCTTGGAGGCCGCGGCGCCATTTTAATAGCCCTCATTTCCCCCCTTGGTATCTCGCGCTCTTGTGTGTCAGGGTCTCTGTCCCCATCCCGCCCTGACTTTTGCCCCCCTCCGTCAGCCTGGATAGAGTGGCCAATCAGCGCCGGCCTAGGGTGGGATGCACGTCACCATGGCGACGGCCGGGAGGACTTGGCAGTGCGGCCCATCACATAGGGCGAGTGTTCACCCCGCCTAGACGGGTGTGAAAGGGTGGTGGGGACGGGTGGGGGGGGTTGGAGGAACCTGTGGCACCTCATCCCTACTCCCAGCCCCATTCTGCTTGGGGACACAGCTCAGCTTGGGTCAGGCAAGGGAGAACGGATGGTGCAGGCAGGGCCTTCGTAGAGACACAAGCTTATCCTGCGGTTGCTTTCAGTTTTCCCATTCCCCAAGGTCAGACTCCCCTCCTTCTCATCTTGGTCCAAAGGTCCATCTTGGTCTATCTCTCGCCCTCTTCTGTCTCTCTCTTTCTAAGAGATGGTGCTCAGGAGCTCTCAGAGGTCCCCCCAAATTGCTTTGCTGTAAGAGCTGTGGTTTGGGGCAAGTCATTTACCCTGAGTCTTAGTTTTCTCATCCACAAGATGGACTAGCCTGCAGGCTTATCATGGAAAGCACTGAGTGCACAGTGGGTGCCCTATCAATGTTAGAGCGCCTTCTCCCTTGGCAGGGAGGGCAAGACTATGGAGGGCAGAACTTGGGGGTGTCCTTTCTGTCTGGGGAAGCCAAGTTTAGATGTCTCATGGCTTCCTAGAGCCAGCTTTTCATTTCTCCTCCAGACAGCTGGGAATCGAGGTGGAGAGGATTTTTAAAAACAGAGCCAGGGTGGGGGCTGTGGCTGGAACAAAACCTTGGTCAGTGGCTCTGAGAATGGGCCACTGCAGCTCCTATAGCGCCTTCCTTCCAGGCCAGTCCGGCTTAAGCACCACTTTAAGTGGTTCGGGCATTCACTGGCCGGCCCCTCACCGCAATTGAGCCACAGGGGTTTGAAAAGAGGGCCAGAGCCTCAATGACAGGACCTTGGGCCAGGCTAATTGGTTTTGGTTCAAGGGGATACTGGATTTGTGAAAAGCTACAGACTGCCTTTCCCACGCCAGAGCCAGGCCTTGGCGTTAAGGAGAAGGGGTCAAGGAAATTGGGGCCAGGCGAGAAAGCTGGGAGCCAGGTTCCTCCAGCCGAAGATCCCACTCTAGTAGCCAAGACTCCTCTGCTTGGAGGGCGCGAGTTGGTATAAGGCATTTCAGTGGGGGCAGGCAGGTTCTACTAACCCTCACACACACACACACATGTGGCAGTGCCAAGAAAGGAACCCCTCTCTGAGCCTCTGGTTCATCTCAGTTGTGGAAAGGCCTCGCTTTCCCCCACTGCAATCATCCAGGCAGAGAAACCAGCAATTGCTAAGTTAATCGTTCTTGACCCCAGAGGTGGACCAAACCTGGGCTTTTAGACTCTGGGAAAATCCTAGACTCTATCCTGAGGCAGGCAGTGCAGTTGGTCTCAAGATAACCCACTTCTGTCTCTTGAAATGTCCCTAAGCCACCCTGGGCATGGACAAACAAAGCAGAGATGAGAAACAGGGGACCTTGTGGTACTTTAAAAAAAAAAAGCATCAACTATTTCTTTATATTCAAAAATTAAGCACTAATTGTATTGTGATTTAAATCATTAGTGTAGATAATATTAATGTAAATGCTTTGGAGCATAAGTCTTCATGTGTACAAATACTTATGTGTTTGGACCAAATGATTGCATGTTTGTATATATAATATACCCATTCTTGTAATATAGTATATGGTCTATATACTGAATCCTCCTCTTATATGACAGTCAGTTAAGGATGGCGACAGGGATGGGTGGGAGCTATAAAAACAAAAAGTCCCATTTAAAATTATGTTGCATTGGCTGAGACCTGTTTTTCATGATTCATTGTGTGTTGGAAGGCGTGTCCTAAGTAATCACCAGCTAAAGAAACCCCCTACCCCTTTTTATTATCTTCCAAATTTTTACCATGTTTGCCCACTTGAGGCATATAAGTAGGAGAAAGGTACTTTGAAGAGATCTTAGAACTCTGTGTATTACGTTTTCCATTTTCATTTCAAGTTTTAATTGCCCGGGGTCTAATTTCTTTGGGCCTCTGCTGATTTGCACATTTGAGATTCATGTGTAAATATGCATGTGGCATGTATGCTCGCCTGGGCCTCCTTATCACAAAGTGTGCTCTCTCGGTGTTTAAATACATACAATCCACATCGACACACCATTATGGGCTTGCATATTTGCCTGTTCTCTAGAATCGGGTTAATTTTCCCTTCGCTAATCCTGAAACCCATTTAAGTTCTCCAACCCCCGCCCCCCCACACACAAAAATTTGCAAACCCTACCACAGACCAGTGGTCTCACCCCACTTCTCTAGCAGGCAGCTCTCCAGGCGGGGTGCTGGAGTGAAGGTTCCTATTAGGCAGACTTCATTAATATTACCAAATATACCCCAGCACGTTTACTCGTCTACTATGAAGTATTAGCATCAATAATTAAAATTAAACTGCACTTGTCAAAATAAATGAACAAAGTAGAGTTAGTGATGTCTCTGCCTTGATTTGCTTGCCTTGGGTTTGCTTATTCACGAAGTGAAGAAAAGAAGAAAGAGGGAGGGAGAGAAAGGAGGAAAGAACAGACTGCTGTGGGAAGGGGAGAACAGAGAAAGAGGAAAACCCCTGTCACTGCCCTTGGGTTTCCAGTCATTAAGGCACTCTGGGAGGCTGGAATGCAGTCTCTAACGTCAGCTCATGATGAATATTGAGGTGTGGATGTGGAAGGAGGGGTTTCTTTGTTTACTGAGGAATGGCCATGGGAATGGGGGAGCAGGTCGCCTTTGGGGATTAAGGAGTGGGCTTTGTTTTTATGAAGGGTCTTACTTCTTTTCTGAAGTTTTCTGCAGCTAATTGATTCAATTCAGACATTCCTCCTCCCTGCCCGGCCAGCCCAAGCCGTGTATTTGTGAGATGTGCACAGCCCCATTTCCCCATCTGCTCTGGCCCCTTTCTCCACTCTGACCCTTGAAAAGGGTGTGAACCTTCACATCAAGGAGATCACAGGCAATGGACAAATCAGTCGGGGGCCGAGACCATTGTATGTATATGCGTGTGACAGACAGCACATACATACACACCTACATATCTTATCAGAAGTATAACATATAGAAACAGAGCATAGGTGCACAGTTCTATAGGTTGTGACAAATGCATTTACACCAATGTAACCAACACTTGAGAGAAACGGCATTTCTCTCACTTCAGAAACTGCCCTCCTGCCTCTGTCAATCTTTGCCTGCCCCCCTTCAGATGTTTCTTATCACGGATTAGTTTGACCTATCTAGAGTTTCATATACTGGAATGTACACCAGGACTTTTTTTTTTTAAAGGGAGCACTGTCCTCAGAGGCCTGACTGAATGAGTGAGTGTCCAGGAGATTTTGTGTTTATGATCATATTAGATTTGTATTAAACACTTTCCTTGGGATGGGCCTGGAAGTCAGACCTGTAATTAGGTTGGGGAAGGGGGCTGGTTTGGGCTGGTCTTCTGCCAGGACAGCCTTGTTCTCACCCGAGGTCTGTTAATGAGTGGGGGACAGGTGAGCCTCACACATACATTCCAACTTGCCCCCCTTCAGCGGCAACCAGGAGCTGATGGAGAGCTATTAATGGAAGGTGCCAGCTTTGTGCTAATTAGAACTTCCTTTCAGCTTTCCATCTGCATAGGCACTCCACCCCTCACTGGTCAGCCTCACCCGCCCCCACCCCCATTAGCTTGCAACCTAGTTATTGTTCCCCCCCCATGAATTGGGGGGTGCTATGAGTGGAGCTGCTCTCCTCCGTCTCTGGCCAAACCCCAGTTCTTTGTGTTGCAGGAATATCCAGGGTGGCATTTCTCGAGCCTTTTCTGTCTTTTTAGGGTGGAGATGGACTGCAAGTCGGTCAGGGGGTTGGGCACCACAGCCATCCTCCAGGCAAGGCTGCACCAGCAACTTGGGGCTATTTTGAAAAGGACTTCTCTCTTCTGCCCTCTGGAGAGTGTGGCTTCAGACCCTATCCCCTCTATTACCCCCATTCCTGGTGCCACTCAGTCTGTTGTACCCACCCCATCTCAACCTTCAGCTGCATCTCAACCTCTCAGGCAGCCTGGGGGTTGGGGCTGTTACCTTGGCTCTCTTCCGAAAAAGCCCAAACTTTTAAAATTCATTTTGGTTTTCATTTCTTTCACCTCAGGCCCAGTGTTGTTGTTTTATGGAGGCTGTCTGTCATAGAGGTTTCATTAAAAAAACAAAACACTAACGTCATAGTCACGTCATTTAAAGCAAAAGCGCCTCTCAATTTGGAGGTTGGGGGAGGTCAGGCTTCCTGACTGATTATCAGTTGGGGTGAAATCTCTTGCAGGGAGCCAGAGAGAGGTGCATCTCCTAGCAATGCTCCTCTTTTTCGCTCCTGAATCCCCTCAGGTCCCCATTGGGGTTGTGTGTAAAAATATCTTGCCCTCCCTGCCCCTTCATCTCATTTTCTCCTGCTTGAATTATCCTGATCTTAATACAGGTCACCCACTTATTTGACTGTGTAGACTGGGATTTTAAAAATCAGGACTGGAATTTTGGCCAGCATGAAGCTTTGCCAGTTTTCTCAAGGTTCTGGACCCAGGCTAAACGGGTGGAAGCGCCTGTGAGGTGTCCAAGGGCTGTAGAAATTCCCCATCACTGGTGTCGGGTAGAGCAGGAGTACCAGCTCGCCTCTGTAGCCTTTTCTGCCCTTAGGGGGTGACAGTTTCTGAGTTGAGGCTCTAGTGGAAGACCCAGCACTATTCTAGACTGGGTTAATAAACCAGAAATCCAAGTTCCAGAAGGGCAGCGGCTGGGGGGAGGTGTTTTTTTGGCATGCTGTGGCTGTTACACCTCAGTGTATCCTTAACAAGTCACATCACCTCTCTGGGCTTCTGTTTCCTTGTGAAATGGTGATAATAGAACCTGCACCTCCAGGGGTCACAAGAGAATTAAGTGAAATATACAAATCAAGTGCCTGGCATACAGTGGGGGCGCTGAGTAAATGGTAGCTCTTTTGCCGGGCTGGGACTGGGTGCACATGGATGTCTGTATCTGAAATTCTAACCTCTACTTGCTGGAGACAGTGAAAGCACCAGCGGATGTCCTGGGTCTCACGGAAGAACTGATCAGTACCTATCATGTCCTCTAGGCCCCCAAACTATGAGGTGAACCAAGACTCCAGGGAACCGCCCAGTGCTTTTAATTATTTTTTGGGGTGGGGGATATTGGGACGCATGTAAAGTTTCAAGCTTGGCTGCCTGGAGAGGAGGACACATAAGAGAGACCTGCAGAGAGCAGGAGAGGGATTGACTTGGGTGGCCAACGGGGGTTCGTCAGGAGGCCCCTGTTAACTTGGGGTTTGGGATTTCTAATAGTTGTTGTTTCTGGAAAATGGCCTGAGGCCCCTGCTCCGGCAGGTTCTGAGTCTCAGGACTCAAGAGCAGCACCATCGCAATCGGGAGAGTGGTGGGGGGAAACAGGGGCCTCCGGGGGCGGTCGCTCTCTCCGCGATGGCTGGACCCTAGGTGCATCCAGGTGTCCCCCCCCCATGGGTCTCAATTTCTAGGGCTCTAGCTCCCATCGAGCAGGGGTTCGCTCTGGAGGGCGGCCTCCAACGGCAGCTTTGCGGGTGGCTGCATGCCTGGCCTGCTGGCGGGTAAGGAGCCCCGAGCCCGGACGGAGGGAACCCCCCTTAACCAGTACCACACCGGGCTTCCCTCCTGCGTCCTGGGCTGTAGTCCTGACCCGAAGGACGCGTGGGCCCCCACCCCTACTCCTTCGAGCCGACAGGGATGCGCATCAGGGCGGGGGTGGGGGGCGCCTGATGTCTCCCTCTGTTTTACAGCTACTCCCCTGCCGACGCCTCCCTCCTCCGCGCCATTCCGCCTGCGCTCGGAGCCCCCTTTTCGCCGCCCTTTACGAACTGGCCGTCGGCACCGGTTCTGTCGTCGGAGGGAGCGCAGAAGAAAGGTGAGTGACCGGGGCAGCCGTCTGCCTGCACCCCAACTTTGCCCCGAGTGTCTCAGAGAAACGTGCTTGAGCCGGCGCCTCGGAAGTTGGGAGAGTCCAGGATCGGGTCGGCGGAGCGGTTGTTTTCCCCCTGAGTAGCCAGGAAGGCGACCCCCCTGGTCCCTAAGCCTGGACCCAATGTCACCCCCACCCCGGCCCCCCACGTCTTGTGACACGGCGCTAACTACACTTACCGGTTCGTTGTGCTTTGTGATTTAATCCTGCAGAGCTGGCGCACAGCACGGCACGTTGCACACAGTAGGTGCCAGGAAACGGCGGCGCGAAAGGTTCCGGCCTCCGAAGCGGCTTTTGGGACCCCGGGCCCTCCCGGTCGGCCGGCGTTCTGTGGGGTCCGAGGTGCGCAGTGGCCTCGCCCCTGCAGCGGGGGCGGCGCGCTGCCTCCCGCCCGCCCAGGCTCGGGCCCTCGAAGGGCTCGGGCCCGCGCGCCTGCCCTCCGGGCTGCAGGAAACGGAGTCGCCGGCCCAGGCTCGGGCGCAGCGGGGCGCGAGCAGCAGCAGCAGCAGCAGCACAGCCGGCGTCCCCTGGAAGCATTCACACCTCGTGGGCACCGGGGCGCAGCCGGGGAGGGGCGCGCTGCGGGCCGGAGGCCATTTTGGAAGCGCGGCGCAAGATGGATGCGTGGGCGCGAGGACGGCGGCGCCCCCCGCGAGCACCGCGGGCCCCAGGAGCGGAGCGTGCGTCCAGAGCGCCGGCCGGACCGGGTCTCTGCCGCCGGGCAACCCGGGCGGGCTGTCAGGTATTAATGACCCCGGGAGGCCTCACCGCGAACGCCGGCGTCCCCCTTCCCGCCTCCCGCCCGGACCCTCCGTCGCGGCTGCCGACGCGCCCGGTGGCTGTGGGCACCCCGCGGGCCGTGCGCGGCGCGGCTGCTGCGGAGGAACAGGCGTCGGCCGGAGCCTGCCTCGCTCGCTCGCTCGGCCGCCCGCTCCGAGCAGGGGCGGAGACGGCCTTCCCGCGCGCGGCCCGTGTGCGGCGGCCGGGCTGGAGGAGCGGGCCGGCGGCGCGGTGGCATTATTTTGGAGCCTGGGACCGGGGGCGCCTTCGCCCTGTCATTAGGTCCCAGGAATGTCACGCGCGTGGCTGACGCCCGCTCTTTCTTGAGACCGCGAGGCCCGAGGCCGCCTTTCCCGGGCCTGGGTGTGGCGCGGGGGCGCAAGGATGGTGGAGGCCACATTGCCGAGGGCCCTGCGGCTGGCACCAGGGTCTGGCGAGGGCCTCCGCGTCGCCCGCGTGGTTCGGGCTGAGGACGCGCCTGCAGGCTCCATTCCCTCCTCCTGGGCTGCGGTCAGTTGTGGAGGAAGCGGGCGCGGCTGACGCCGGAGCCACAACCTTGAGCTGGACCCCTCCAGGCCTCTGCCCGTGGGTCAGAGCTGTGGCTCCCTCTGCATGCCCCCCTTCCACCTGGGTGACTAGTGTGAGCGCAGTCGCGGTGGTTGGAACTGTCCCAAGTTGACCCACCGCTGCCCCGAGGCAGGTCCCACGCATATGCGTTTGTACAGAGTGACCAAGACACTTCGGGTGATGTCCCTTTGTGTTTGTGGAGTTGCGCTTTGTGCCTGGCCTGGTGCTTAAGAAACTCAGCTTCACTGCTCGGGGGATGATGCCGTCTTTGTGATTCCGGCCACAGCTACGATGTGGCAGAGACAGGATGTGGACTCAGGCATGTCTGCCCCAAAGCCTGAATTCTGAACCGCATACGTAACACACAAACACAGATGCATCACCTTTGTGATCTCATCTGTCCAGCGCCAAGCCTGTCCTGAATCCAAGCCCCCCATCCCCACACAGTCCTCCCTCACCTATGAGGGCTCCCCTGTCAACCCCCCAACCTCTTGGCCTAAAGCCCTGGCCTAAAGTGAATGTTATGATTTGATATTATGGTTGTTCCGAGCCTCCTGGCAGCCAAGACAAAGAAGAAAATATGATGGTTTACAACCTTGTTCCAAAAAAAAGCTAATTGAGATTTTTGGAGATATGAACACTTTTTCCTCCGTAAGATTTATAGAAAACTTAAAGCTCGGTGATTACGTAGGTCAACTGCTTTTGTCACAGATGAGGAACCAGGCACAGACAGGTTAAGGGTTTTCCCCCCCAAGGTCATAAAGTTACCTAATGGAGCAGGGACTGGGACCCAGGGTTCCTAATTCCCATCCTCTTAGGAGCGGGCTTCAGTGGGCTTTTCAACAGGGAAATGCTTTAGTTGTGTTGAGTGACCCTTCCGTCCCCCCCCCAAACTCTGCAGACCTGTGTGCTGTCTTCTTCCTTTTTGTGTCCCCGTTCCTAGTGCCAGGCTAGGCTCATTGTGTGTGTCTGTAAATATTTGATAACCGAGTGAGTGAGAGGTTGTCCAAAGCTAGACCCCTGGACTAAGAGATGGGGTTGGTGATGGAGGGAGAGGTCCTGACTTCAGTTCTCCGAAGGGATTGGTGTTTTGCATGTTGCATTCCTGAGCCCATGAATTCCTTAGACCTTTCTCTTTTAGCAAATGATGTGAGCTGGATAGTGTATTTCCCCCTTCGGCAGTGATCTGGCTCCTAACTGCTCTGTCACTCTGGTGGACCTCATGGGAGGGGTCATTGCTCTCTGTAGGAACCATGTTGTCATTGAGAATTGCAAGCCCCTTTATGGGAACGGAGGAGGGTTTCCGGATGGCACCAGCAGTCCCCATGAGAACTGGTGCACCCATTCTTTTGTCCTCTTTGGGTGCAGAGGCAGCCTCTCTGTGCCTACCCAGGTTTGGTTCCTGTGGCTTCAGGAAAAATCACAGAATGTGGCTCATCGGACCCCCAGAACTTATACAGATTAGTCAATTCCCATGGCTCCCAAAAGGTGGCCTTTGGACCCCTGGCATGATCACTGTAGGTACTGAATAAATTTAGGGAGCCTGCCACAGACCAGATCCTCTAGAAATTTGTACCGGAAAGTTGTTGGCCTGGGTGTGGGGAGGGGGCTGGCTTCTTGGAGAGGAGCCCCTAATTGGCAGAAAGTCTCCAACAGATGCTGGCCAAATCCTGACCGTTGTCATTGGGCAGGCTCTGCATCAGCAAAGCAGGGTGGAGAGCTGAGGGCAGTTTACAGCTAAAGCCCCAGCTGTGGAAGAAAAACAGGGTTCAGCTCCCCAGATTAGTTACTGTCTACAAGGATTAAAGGCCCCAAATAATGGCTGGCCTCTCCCCTCCTCCGTGCCAAGGGAAGACATGTAAATACAGCCGCACGCCAGCTTAGGCGGTAGATGTGTATAAATCGAATTTAGCAAATCAGATCATGGTTTAAATGCACTATTTAAAGCAGTCCTGCAGTGAAGCCTTTTACAAAGGGAATAATCATTTTGTGATGCTAATCATCAGCCTCCAATTTATCTCCTTTGTAAGTTCAGATGTTGGTGCACTGGGCGTTCTGAAATTGGGGCGCTCTTGTGCAGGGCTCGGTGATGGCTGTCTGCTTTCCTTTCCTGACCTCTCATTTCAAATGGGTGCATGTCCTCGTTCTCACTGGGGGCCTCAGGATGCTTGTCACTTAGCCTGAGAGTTCTCATCCATCCCACTCATCATTTTATAATCTGATAGAGCCCGCCATTCAGCTGCTCCTGGCTCCTTTTCTGAGATTTGCGCCCTTCCTGGGGGGGAGATAGAAGCCCTGCTGTTCTCAGGGCAGTGGACCCAGCTCCCTCTCTGATCTGAACCTTCTTTTGTTCCCCTGAGCTTCTGGTACTGGTCATAAAGAAGATCTCAGAGTCAACGACACACACACAGCAGCCCCTGAACGTAATAGGCGCCCACTTGCTGAATAGGCAGTGTTCACAATATTCTCCCCATTCACAGCAAAATAACTGAGGCCTGGGATGTCAAAGCGACTTTTCCCACAAGTTGAAATTGGGTCTCAAAGGAGAACCTGTCTCCTAATTGCTATAAAAGTGTTTTATACACTGAGCTACAGTGCCTTTCTTTGCAGAGAGAATCTACCCAGAGACCATCTGGGTGGGATGGAAAGAATGAAGGGAGAGAGATGGATCCGAGTGGAATAAAGGAAGTGGGCAGGAAGCTAGCGGGCCGCGAGGAGCCTGACCTTGCTTAGCTCACAGGCCCTGATATAGTGTCTTTGTCACTATTGGCGCGTTCCTCGGTAATTATGACTGTGTGTTGGCATGGCGACTCGGAGTAAGAAGACTAGAAGCTCTGGGTAAATGCACTTGTTCTTGCCTTCTACAGCAGAGAGGAGCTTTTGTGGGTAGTTCCTCCAGGGAGACGTGGTAGAAAATTCCCCAGGCCCAGCTCTGGAGCGTGGGTATTTACAACCCCGACGAGGCCAGGTGGCCCTGATCAGGGGTGGCACACACAGAGGTCCTCAGGCAGGCTCGCCTCCGATGCAGGGGTCTCCCAGAACCTCCCTCCTGTTCCTTTCTGTTGGTCTTTGTTCCGGAGCTTGTAATGCCAAGTATAGCCATTTCTACACCTCTCCAGGTTGTCTATTTCAAATGGGTTTATGTTGCAGTCCCCCCTGAATTTGATTTTATCGCAAAATTATCTATTTCATGGGCTACGAGTGTTTATTGGGAGGCTGAAAGGAAAGGCAGCTAGATGGGCCCAGCTGTCAGGATGGAGTTTGGGGCTGCCCTTTCGACCCTGGTGCCCCCTCCTTAGATACTTGGATCACATGTGCATCCGAAAATGGGGGAGGTTGCCGGAGTCAGGGATTGCGCGGTCCAGTACGCTAACCGCTATTGATCACGTGAGATGTGGTCAGTGCGACATGCTGAAATGATAATATTGGGTTCAATAAAATATATTATTAAAATTAGTTCTACCCGTTTTTTTTCTTACTTTTTAATGTGGTTTCTAGGAAAATTGGAAGGGTACAGGTAGTTCATGTTTTCATTGGTCCAGACTAGAGAATCAAGACTTCTTCCAGCCCCAGTGCTCGGGAACAAATCCTGGCCTACCTACTACCCCCTGGAAGGCCTCCAGCCACAGAGCGCTCCGTGCATAGAGCGCCACAGGAAAGCCAGAGAGAGGCTCAGGCCTTACGGGGCTTTCAGGGGTATGGTGTACAGCCCCTTAAGTGGGGGTTACCCCTCAGTCCTTCCAGACAGAAGGCCTGAATCTATCGTCAACACCATATTTTGCAGCTTTTAGGGTGGGGGACGAGAGCCAGCAGGTAACCCTGGAAGGGTCTGTGGATGGAGGTTTAGCAGTGTCCCGCGGAGTTTGTGTGGACACAGATGTAGGTGGCAGGAGGGTTGTCCCAGGGGTGGATCGCCTCCCCACCCACCCCTTGCCCATCCTCACAGTGATTGCACAGTCTCCCAGATGCCTGGAAAGCACAGGGCACGGGAAGGCAGCTGTGCATCCCAGGTCGATGCCAATCCCACTTTCAGCAGGTTTCCTTTGGCCCGAGGGCATCTCGGTGCCCTCTCCGGGCCGCCCCTCCTCCCCTCAGCCTCTGCTGCTCTCTGCCAGCCGGAGCTTCTGGGATGCGCCTTGGCGCAGGGCCAGCATCTTCTTGGAGAGGCCTGCTGCCCTGGCTCCCTGCCAGGCCTTGAGTCTTCGGGGAGATTTTCTGGGGCGGCGCTGGGCTCAGCCTGCTGTCGGAGGGCAGAGGGGCCTTCTCACCTCGGAGGACTCCTGGCTGTGCATCCAGCCTTGCTTCCAGCCCCCGTCCCCTCTCAGAAACTCCAGTTTCCTGCCCTGGTGACCCTGGACTGGGTTAAGGGCCACCCAGCTCCAGTAAGCCTTGAGTTGATGAAAAGAAGGCTCTTCACATGAGCCTGGGAGGTGAGGAATGGGCAGCCAGGAAATCATAATGAGTCATGATAATGGTGACCGAACCCATTTATGGGGCACGTATGGTGTGCCAAGGTCCGTGCTAACGCTTTGCATACTTGTCTTTAAGGCCCTTCTCAGAAGGAGCCGAAAGAGGAGTGACAGTCATCTAGGGTCTGCCCTTCTCTTCTAAGCCAAATGCCCTTGGGGTGACTGCATGGGGTACGTCTCAGAAGCTACAGCCTTGGGGTAGGTGGAAGTCTGAGTCCCCTGGGGGTCCTCGTCTCCCAGAGTCGGCCTGGGCTTTGGGCAGCAGCGTGAGCCGGTTCGGGTTGCTAGGGAATGGCTCTGTAGTGTCTCTAGCTTCAGGGCTGGCGATGCACTTGGAGAATGCAGGGAGGAGGGCTCTGGGTGCTGGGGTAGGGGTGAGAAGCATCCCACCCAGTCCGGACTCTCTCCTAATTGCCAGCGGGATCCGTAGCCTGGCTGTCCCTCAGTCTGCCCGTGGAGCCAAGGGTAAGGTTGGAATCTGCTTTCTGCAGCGTGACATCCCATGAGGTGGCACTCAGTCTTCTGGAGAAGGGACAGGGACCCACGTCCTCTGTCCAGTCTTGTCTCAACCTTAAGCAGAAAACGTTAGACCTTTTTCCTATGCACCCAGTTGTGGGGCACAGGACAGGAGAGGGGGTGAATGCCCCTGGGCATGCCACTTCCTTGCGGAGTGCTAGGGAGACGGGGAGGAAAGGGAGAAAGGTCGCATGTTGACAGCCACCCCTTCCCTTGGGGCCTGCAGCTTTCTTTACCCCATTTTTAGCTGTTTCTAACCTCTCTTCTGCTGCTGGGTCGCAGGCTTTAAGACCACGGTGGTGTGTGAGGCAGTGCGTGTGGCTCAGAGGGCGTCAGGGGTCTCCTTGACTTACTTCAGACCCCTCAGGCACACTATTTCACCTCTCTCTCTGAGCCAGTTTTCTCATCTGTAAAAGTGGGGACAGCCATACTTACCGTGTGCGCGCTCTCAAGATGTGTCAGTTTGCCTCCCCCACCTGCTGCTCTAGAATGGGGGTGGGGAGGTGTGCTGGGGGGGGAAAGGGGAGGGCGCAGGGAGCATGAACCGGCCGGGCTGTACAGCAGTGACCATCTCGCTGGTGGGTCACACATCTCTAATGTGCGAAGGTACAGGGAAGGCGGCAAACGAGGGACCGGGCTCCTGCCAGTCGCTCCGCAGTAAGTCATGGCGTTTACTGATCATGCCTGAGCTCCAGGCCCCATGGTGCAGAGAGGACCCCAGGAGAACCCCTGACTTGCCCCCTGCCCTCTTGGAGAGAAACCAGTCTAAGGAGGTGGCATTCAAGGGGTAGATCGCTTGACTCAGGCGGCGGAAGTTAAGAGAGGATGAATCCGTTTGGGGTGGAGTTGGCAGGGAAGGCTCAATGTACCCAACCAGGACTCCCTGAACAGAGGTTCAGAGGTGGGGGTGGAACCGCCTGCAGAGTCCTGCAGGACTGGCCCAGAGAGCTGAGTCCAGAAAAGCACGTCAGATGGTGGAGGCCGCGAACAAGAGGGGTGGAGGGCAGCCTAAGGGAACTGGTCCTGTCAACCTTGTGCAAGCTGGGTGTGGCAGGCTGCTGGACCAGCCTGAGCCAGGTTGCCACACCCTCCCTGGGCCTCTCACCTCTGATGGCTCTTGGCCTGGACTTCAGCACCTCCAGGTTTGTACTGGGAGCCACATCCCAGTTTGCAGGAGTCCAGTGGACCTCAGGAATTGGAAGTCTGCCCGTGCCCGACGGTATTTTTTTTCTGCTGCATTCATTCCTTCATTCAACACTTACTGACCACACACTACATGTCTTGCTCTGGGCAAGGCCTTGGAGATACAGAGAAGAAAACCACAGTCCCTCGCCCAGACTGTAAGCTTTTGTAATATGGAGTTTCATCTATCCATCCACGACGGGAAGGTCAGGCTGGGGAGGGGGCTGCTGGGTTAGTGGGCCCTGAGGTATGACAGTTCTCATCCCTTTGCAGCTCCCTGTCTCCCCTGCCCCTCTCCATGCCCCCAAGGGCCAGGGAGAGCACAGCCAGAGGCCATTTTGTGCTTTGCCCATTTAGCTGCCATTTAGCCTGGACTAGAACTTTAATTTTCCAGGTTCCATTGGTTCTGTGTAGAGCTGCGACATCTCAGCTGTCTTTTCTTCCTTTAAAAACAACTTTGATCTTAGGAATCAGCATTGCAGCAACTGTTGAGATTTGCATTTGGGATTGGTAGGGAACACCTTAAATGCAATCAAATAATAAATTACATCGGGATGAATTTATGTACAGAGGGCCTCCCCTCTTTGGAAGAAATGAGATGCCGTTTGGGGCATCGAGGCCTGAATTCTATCCTGGTTCTGCTCAGACTGGGTCCTGAGTACAGTGATTGGCAGGTGAGCCTGCATATGAGTTAGCAACAGTGCACACCCAGCTGCCTTCTCTCAATACACCCAGAATTTGGAAGAGTCATCCATGTAGGCAGTCGGTTAGGGGGCTGCCCCCCAAATGAATCCACTTGCCCTACAGCCCCAACTGCAAGCTCTGTCATTCTCCCACTTGTGTCCCAGAAGCGGGAAGGCCAAACAGATTTCATTCCATTTCTTATTACTACTTTGGTGGTTTTCTTATTGAGGCCGATGTGTGTGTGCGTATGGTTAGAAGGATGAAACTCTTAGAAGTTACATGGCATTTGTGGGTCAAGTACAGTTAACCCTTGACACAACTTGAGGGCTAGGGGCACCGACCCCATGTAGTTAAAAATCCACTTATAACTTTTGACTCCCCCAAAACTTAACTAATGGTCTACTGTTGACCAGAAAGCCTTACCAATTAACATAGTCGATTAACATATATTTTGTATATGTATTATATCCTGCATTCTTACAGTAAAGTCAGCTGGAGAAAAGAAAATGTTATTAAGAAAACCATGAGGAGAAAATACATTTACAGTACTGTCATTTTATTGAAAAAAACATCTGCGTATAAGTAGACCCAGTGCTGTTCAAGGGTGACGTGTACCTGTCAAAGCTGTGGGAGGGACCTTCCAGCTGCATGGAACGTGGTTCCAGACCTTTGAATGGAACCCGCTCCTTGGCAACTAGGAGACTTGGGGAAAGTATCCTCCCATCATCTGTGTGGACAGGCCCACCGCTGCCCGTGGGCAAGATAAACACATGTGAGGGAGGCTTTCCTCTGTGGACAAGAATTGGGGAGTCTCTGAGACACGGAGCAGTGCTGGACTCCGCTTCCGAGACCTTCCACCCCTCCTTCCCTGGGAGACCCCGAGTGGATGGTGAGAGTGGCTTCCCAGAAAGAAGGATGCGCTCCGCGTTCTGTGACAGCTGTGGGACACATGGATGTCCAGGTGCTGGCAAGCAGTGGGCCTTCCCTACGCTGGGTGGCCTCGGCACCCTTCTGACTTCCCTTGCGTGGCTCTCGGTCTGAATGAATGTCATCTGCACAGAGGCCGGCCTTGGGTTTACATTTGGGGGCCTGTTGACAGCACATGCTGGAGTCACGAAGCTGCGGGGTTGATGTTTCCTCCGGGACGAAGTGGGTGCAGACTCCGCGCTGGCCCCTGACGCCCCCGCAGAGGAGAAGCCCAGAGTTTCCTGTTGCCCAGTTTGTCCAGTTTCCCGTTCTCTTCTCCTCTCACGTTCCTTCTGTTCCCTCCAGGACACACTCCAGAGTCAGAAGACAGAAAGGAGGAGCCGGGCCCTGGTGGAGGAGTGTCAAGGTGGGTCCCGGCCTGACTCAGGCCGCCACTGTGTGTGTGTGTGTGTGCTGTCACAGCTCATGCCAGCAGCGGCCCCGACCTCTGCACCGCGTGGCTACCTGGCTGTAGACGATGGTCCCAGCTAGACTGGGGTCTTGGATTCCTGTTATTTTTTTTTTCTTCTTTGGGGAAAAATAACCCAGTTTGGGGGAGGAAATTTTTTTAAAAAGGGGCAGTAGCCCCGGTGGTTCTTGGAGCCAGCTGCCTGTTAGGCTGCCCCGCGTGAAATTTTTCTTTTGGAGAAACAGACAAATCCTAGTCATTTCATATGGTCCCACCCAATACATTTCCATGCCTTGGGCTGGTGGAGAAGGAGCCACCCCCTTCCCTTCTCCCCAGAAGCACGTTTTAAAGCGTCTCTGAGATTTTAATCACCGTGTTCCTCTTCATCCTATGTACCCTTCTCAGAATTAGTTTACCTGCAGGAAGAAATCACCCTAACCTGTGGATTTCACTGCCCCGGCCGGGCCCCACATGCCCCCAGCTTCAAGTCGTGTCTTGAAATGCAGGACAATTAAGATGACTTTTAAACACCTCTTCTTTCAGTATTACAAATAAATAAATTCTCCAGGGCAGCTCAGACAACCCTGACTGAGGGCTGAGACCAGCTCCAAACTTTTCTGTCTCTGGAGGTATTGGCTTCCATCTGGATGCCTGAAATAGTATTTCACTCCCTCTCCTGGGAGCCGGAGGGAGGAGGTGGTTCATTCGCTCTCGTTTGGGGAGCTGGCTCGCAGCCTCTCCGTAACCTTTTAGCCACCCTGGTGCTGGGCTACCGGCAGTGTGGGCTTTTGACTGAATGCGCTCGCAGCCCTGCATTCATTACACCATTGTCAGTGTGCGTGTCTGGGGCTGCCTCTGGGTGTGTGTGTTTCTTTTTGTGTCTGCGTGTCAGTGTCAGGCTGTGTGTGTCTGTTTACATCGGCCTGTCTGGGCGCGCTCAGAGCCACAGGGAGCTGCGGGGTGTTGGTAGGAGAGAGGGCAGTTCATAGCCCCAGACCTCCCCCTCAGGAATTTTGGGAAATTTGTATGTGTGTGTGTGTGTGTGTGTGTGTTTATATGTATATTTTATATATACATATATATGTTTTTTTTAATGCTGCTCCCGTGGGGCGACATGTGGGGGGTCTGACCAGGTGTGGTGTGAGCAGCTGTGGCCGGTCGGGTGAACCCCATCTTCCCTGAGCTCACAGACGTGCCTTCCTGCCTGCCCCGTCCATGGGCACTTGTCCCTTTGCAGCTCAGCTCACCGTCTTCTAATTTATTAGCTAGGAAGGAGGAGAAAATGAAACTTTGCCTGAAGACAATGGCTGAGACAGCAGGTCTCACCCTGCAGGGCAGCCAGCACCTCTCCCCCCCCAGCCCTGTCTCCTCCTCTTCAGTCAGTATATCACACTGCTTCGGCTGAAGTAAGAGAAAAAGGAACCCCCCACACCCATCTCTAAAAGCCACGCCTGCCCACGGACCTGCAGGGGTAGCTATAGACTGGTGACGGTGGGAGAGGACGAGGGGCATGTTTGAGCCCGAGTTTGTGTCTGCTGGCCCAGGCCCTCATCCACTCTGGGCCCCCCACCTCTGAGTCGAGGGACTTCTCCCCCCAACCCCAGCCACTGGGGGAAGGGAAGGAGGTCCCAGGCAGCTGCAGGGCTGTGTTAGTAAACACTTTCCTGGGTTCCCATTTTTGTCACCCCCCCCCAACCCTTCTCCACTCCCGATGCCCCGTTACCCGCCCCCCCCAGCATCCCCTTTTCTGTGGCCTGCACAATGAGCTCATTGTCCTGGGTGTGATTTGAATAAGGGATCGGCAGGCCTGTTCCCAGCATTGTCCGAGGGGCTGGGAAAAACCCCAGCGCAGGCAGGAGGACCAGACCAGACAGAGACAGATGCCTAAATTAGCAACAAAGCTTTGTGCACGTCCCCCGGACAAGGGCTCGCCTTGTTTGCGTGGACTCGAGGGTGTGGAGCTGGCCGGCTGCTCGCATGTCTCCCCATGTTAATTAGTTTTGCATGCATGTCTGAGAAGGTGCCAGGGGAGATGTGTTTGCCTTTCCCGGGAGGGGGACCTGTTTGTGGCCATGGAATGGAGCCTGCCTGGGCCTACCTGGGGAGCCAGGCTCTGAGCCGGAGTGGGAATCTCGCCCCCCGCCCCCCGCCATCTTGATCTTCTGTCTCTCTGCCTTTTGGGGGGCTTGGCTTTGCTCCCTGTGTCCCCTCCACTCCTACCCAGCCACATCAGAAAGTTGGTTAGCTCTGATACAGGGAACTCGCTCCCACCCAGACCAAGACCAGTGCCTGTCCATCTGGCGGTCTGTCTCTCTCAACACGGGGTCCCCCGGGACCAAGGAGCAGAAGCGGCCAGTCTGAGCTTGCTCTCCACCATCCTGAGCCAGATGGCCAGTCTGCTGATCGCATTACGGCCTCCCCTGGCCCCAGACCCCTGCGGCCCACAGTTGGGTCAGGATCTTGTTTGGGATCTGACGGAGAAGCCCTCTCTTAGGCCCTTGCAGAAGGTCTGCCCCTGAACAGGAAAAGGGGCTGGTAGACAGGACACGTGGCGTGTCCTAGCCACTGGCTTGCTGTGTGGCCTTGGGCAGGCCATGCCTCCCCTACTCCCGAACCTCAGTTATTCTCCCTGACAAAATGAGAGTTGAACTTCAGGATTCTCTTGGTTCCTTCTAGCTCAGAAAGTCTGCGATGGTGGTGACATTTCAAACGTGTATAGATTTAGCACCTACTGATTGAGCACAGTGACAGGGGTGGGACCAGCGAATTCTGCCCAGCGGTGGTGGGGGCGGGGTGGGGTGTTGCAGGAAGGGTTTCATCTCTGTTGACACTGACGCGTCGGCCTCCGTTTTCAGAGCGGCTAGAGGATCAGGGGCGGGCAGAGCCTTTCCCCCTCTTCCCGGGTCCTCACAGAACCCCTCTTGGCAGCTGAAGCCCTTCTCCCTGCACCCCTACCCTGCAGTGGCGGGAGGAAGGCCCTGGTCCAGAAGAAGGGAGATTGGCAGTGGCAGCAAAGGAGATCTGGAGTGAGAGCAGCTGCTGGCCTGGTCCTGGGTGTACCCTGGTCGCCCCCTGCAGGCCCTGGCATGGGGGACAGGGCTGAGAAGGGGTTGGGTGCCTGCCTAGCTGGGCCTCCCGACAACTTCCTGGGTCGTGCCTTCAGAATTTCCAGCTCTCCTCAGCCCCTCACAATAACCCCGGGAGTGCAGGGGGCATGGAGCACAGCCCCTCTTATTCGGGTGCAGGGGTCTCAGCATTCAGTGAGCAGGGGGTCCGGCTCCCAGGCCCTTCCCTGGACGACACCACTCAGCCCCACTGGCCCGGCTGTCTCTTCACAGCTTCTAGGGAATTCACAATCCAAGCCTGGGACACTCGCAGTCCAAAAAGCCCTGTGCCAATATCTCCATTCCCTCCCCGTCGGGCCTTTATCGGGGATGGATCTGTCCTGTGTCATTTCTTACAGATCTGGTGACCCCACCCGGCCAGGAGGTAACCTCATGTCCTGTGCTTATGTCCTAAGTGATTTGCGATACCGTTGGTGCAGGACCTACTGGGGCCTTAGGGTGAGGCTTTGAATGCCCACATTCCTCCTCTTGCCCCTTCCTTGCCAGCCTTCCCCATCTCTGGTGCTGTAGGACTGCACCTGGCCGGAGGGACCCACAGGGACCCTCAGAGGGTGCCAGTCCAGGCAGGGAGGCCCTGGGCCTCACCCCCAGTCCTCAGCTTCCACCCCTCACATGTCCACTCTGGCCAGTCTCCCACGCCCAGCACACTCACTCCTCCAGTCTGGCTGCCTCTCCCCTCCCCACCTCTCTCTGCTATTCTACTTCTGTGTCTGGGGGCCTCTTTTCCTGCCCCTTTCCCTGTCCTCAGGCTGCTCCTCGCTCCAGGCGTGTATGGTATGTGGAAGGGGAAGTCCAAAGTTCAGTGAGGAAGAGTGTGGACGTTAGAGCTCAGGGCAGGGGCGCACAGGAGTGGTGAGGTGACAGAGACAGGGCCTGGGGACAGCTGCCCACTGCCCTCCCCGCCCCTCCACACGCCTCCCTCCCGGGTTTAGCTGCCTCAGCTGTAGCCCTGAGCTCCTTAATCTGGTGATCAGTGTGGTGCTGGGGGCGTGCCGGCAGAGGCTTTAGGAGGTGACAGGGGATCTGGGGAGTCGCACTCCGCTAGCAGAGCATCACGCAAAGCCAGGGAATCGCATTCTAAGCGCGCTCCCCCTCCGGAGGCTGGACCCTGCACGGCATGGCTGGTACCCAGCGGAGGGCTGGGGCATAGGCCCTGCACGCAGCTGTCATCACCTGGCTCTTTGTTCCTCGGGAGGAAAGTTTTCAATACGAAGGCTCTCCAGCCCTTTCTGCCTGGCTAAGGTTTAATTGTGTGGGACCTGCCCCCACCCTTACCCCAGCCCCCACCTCCTCTGGCTCTCTAGCCCAGTTAGAAGAAGGTGGCTGTGAGTTGCAGGTATTCCTTCCTCTGTCAGCCAGGAAAACGCGGGTCGGGGGTGTGGGTGCGTTCTAGAACTCATCAAGTGTGCTGAGCAGTATGCCTCCCCTGCTTAGACTGGGCAGCCCTGAGAGCACCCAGGGAGTTAGGAAACGGAGGCAGGCAGGCTGAGCCCAAGCCCCGTCTGGCCACAGGTTGGGGGTGGTCCAGGCCTGGGCCCGTGGCTGGACAGGAGGGACAAGGGAGAGACGCTGCAGGCAGAGGCCCAGATGAGAGCTCTGCTTCTGGTGTCACTCTGCATTAGACCCCCGGTGTCTTGGAGCCTCCAAACCCTCATCTGTCAGATGGGGAGAATAACTCTTACCCGTGGAATTGCTGTGCGGAGGGTTCAGCATGTGGGCAACACGAGATAGGGGTGAATTTCCCTCCTCCCTTTGCCCTAGGTCAGGGGGCAGGTTTGAAGGAGTTGAGCTTCTCCAGGTCAGTTCATACAGCTGTGACGTGGGGGAGAAGGACAGCAGTGATAGAATATTAACCGTGGGCACCGGCCACTCAGGACGACAGCTGGCCCAAACCATCAGCCCAGGGAGGAGGGCACAGCTGAGCTGAGACAAGTTCATTTGTCTTTGTGTCTTTCTGCCCCATCACGGGTCTGTTCATCTGCAAGCACACAGACGACCTCCCTCGAGGGCGATTCCTGACGGGGGCGTTGCAGGATGCGGGAACCCTGGATCTCCTTTGCATTCTGAGCAGGTCAGGCCTGCCTGGCATAAGGTACTGCCTGGCAGAGGACCCCGCCGCAGCGGGCAATGAGCTGAGGTCCTTCCCGGCTCCAGGCCCCACCCTGACTGCAGCCCTGCCACCAGCCTGTGTGGGGACAAGCTCCTCCTGGGGGCTGGCACTCTCCTCACATCCCCTGGAGCTGCCCCTGCTTCCTGTCCCTTCTTTTCAAAAGCATGTGGGCGAGGGTTAGGGGCCTGCCCGCCTCCTGAGCCACCTCCTCATGCCTCTGTTTCATCATCAGCCAGAGGAGGTCATGGTTCCTACTGTCCGGCTGTGGAGTGTGAGAGTGTGGTGTTGGGGGCCCTGTGAGCCAGGCTCTGTCATCCAGAAAAGCTTCCAGCCTCAAGGCAGCATCTGCCCCCAGACCCAGGCTCCCCAAAGCTGCCCCTCGACATGTGGTATGCTTTGTTAACAGTGGCTTCTTTTACCCGGCCCTTCTCTCGCCTTGTTGGGTGAAGTCCCTGCCTTTGAGGGCCCCCAGGTGATCTGGTAAAGTGACAAGGGCCTAGGAAGACAGCCTCACCTTGCTGGAAGTCTGAGACGCGGAACCCAGCCCACTTCCTGCTGAGGGCTCACCCTTCCAGCACCTGGAAAAGGCTCACTGGGTAGGATGGCATCTAAGGTCCCTTACAGCGCTGACGTTTTATAATCTGGAAGGTCTTCCTGTTTTGTTTTGGTTTTCCCTTCTGTTATCTGCCAGTAATCCCCAGCCCCAGCCCCCTGGCTCACAGGAAATCCAACCAACTTTGTCCCCTTCAAGCTGCCCTGGGAAGCAGAGAGATACCTTCAACCACAGGCTACAAAAATGAAAACCCAGCTCACTGCTGGCAAGTGACATGAGACTGAGAAGTGGCCTGCCATGGAGCAAGACTTGGTTCAGAGGGCACAAGTCTTGGCTGAGTTCACGCCCAGCCTCTGATCTGGAACCTTCTCTTCTGTTCTCATTTGCTCTAATGTTTACCCTGGCGGCACTGTTTGCCGCCAGGTGGTCCTCAGGGTGCATTTGCAGTGTTCTTCTTGGGACTTGCCCAGTCCTATTTTCCTGGGCCCAGGAAGCTCCAAGCCCTGAGGAACAATCCTTGGGGGGAAATGCCACTTCTTGGTGCCTGGTCCCTCTCCCAGCACCCCAGCCAGGTGGCTCTGCCACCTGAACAGCTAACACAATTGCAGGCCATGGAGTCAGGTGGATGTGGGCTGAGGTCCTTGTCTGACCAATGTGTCCTTGGGCCAGCTCTTAACCTCTCTGAACCTCTGTTTCCTTATTTCTAAAATGAGGATAACCGCACCAGTCTCATAAAGTTGCAGCGAGGCACAGAAATAACACAGATAAAATACCGTGAAATTATATGGTCACTCTCTCTTACCTCCTAGTCCCAGCTGAACCCAGAGGCTCCAAAGGCCACAGATAGGAACCGTTGTCTTTCCTCGCCTCTTACCTTTGAGTTTCAGGCCTGGGGAGGTTCTGAGACAACCTCAGGTGAGCTCCTCCCCCCAGCACACTGCTCTCCTTCCGCAGGGAGCAGAAATACCTACTTTCAGCCCTAATAATACCTGAATGAGATTTATAGGACACTTGCCTCCCCAGAGTGCAAAGCTCCTTCTCACGTATTATTTCTCTTGTCTTTATATTGTCCTGTGAAGTGTGATGGGACGGCCTCTTTCTGGCTTCTCTGAAAATGGAGACAGAGAGGAACTGTGGGTCTGGTCAAGGTCACAGAATTAGAGTACAGAGCCACAGCACCCTAGGACACCAGGCAGACAAGGGAGACGCAGTTGTCACTGTCCTGAGGCTGCGGTAGTCAGGCCGGGATTGAGGAGGAGAACCCGGGCAGAGGGCACTGTCCAAGCTCTGCTTCCGTTCCTTCCTGCCCATCTGGGACCTGGCAGGGGAGCTGGGGAAACATGTCCCAACCCACAGGGGCCTTTGCCCCTGGCCGCCATTTCTCCCCTTGTCACACCCTGTACTTGTTCTGGGGCTGAGGTGCTCCGGCCAGGCCTCTGGAAACGGAAGCTCTTTGCCATCCCATTCCTTCCCAGAGGATGGGGGCAGCACATTGGGAGGCCCCCCCCAAGCGAGGGGCTTCAGCCTTCTAGGAGTTAACGACTCCCTCTCCGCAGCTGTCCTCCCCTTGGTGCTCCTCTTCCTCCCTCCTCCTGCTCACAGCAGGCAGGGCCTGGACCTGGGAGCCATGCTGCTGTGCTGTTGCCAGGGGAGCCGGGAGGCAGACCTGAGCTATGCAGGGAAAAGGCCCGGCCTGTCAAAGTGTGTGAGATGAACCGCCGCCGTCCCCATGCAGCTGGGCTCAAACGTCTCGGCTCTTGTTCTGCGCCTGAGAATGGCGCAGCCCAGTGAGGTTCAAGGGCAAACTCACCATTCATTAGTCAGGGGTTCTTGACGTCCCCTCTCACCCAGGCATGGGTTCCCCCCTTCCTCTTTCTCTCCCTCTCGTGACACATTCTTGGGTGCCTTCGGCGAGGACTGCACACCCTCCTCCTCCTAAGCAACCCCCTCTCTAGAGGCCCCTGAATAAACTCACCCCAAGGAGACCAGGCAGGACAGAGACAATGGCCACAGGAAACCATTCAGGCGGGACATTGGCCATGCTGGCCCGCCCTCCACTCCCAGTGTCCCTGTAAGGCCCCACTCCCCTCTGATTCTGGGCACCCCTGGGCCACCAGCCTGCGTAGGAGGAAACCATTGGGTGGGCTCTACCCTCAGGGTAACAGGCCAGTCCAGTGCCGTTCTTTCTCAGCAGGCTCTCTGGATGTCTCTCTCCATGGCCTGTGTCTCACCTGCTGGCCATACCGGTCTTTCTCTACCATCATGCATAGTTTAAGACACTCAGACACTGTTGGTGGCAGAGTGTAAATTGTATAATATTTTCTGGAATGTGGTAACATCAAATGGAAAAGGTAACATATATTTGGTCACCAATTGCACTGCTAGGCATTTACGCCAGGGTTACATATGTAAAAGTTCCCAAAGGCTTATGTATAAGAATGTAAAGAAATGGAAGTGAACCTATGGTCCATTCAGACTGGAAAACTGCGCAGCTGCAAAAATGAACGGGATGGGTCTCTAAGCTGTTGTGGAAGGTGGGCCAGTATACATTGTTGGGTGAATAGAATCAATAGCAGAACAGGAAATAAGAGTACGGTCTTATTTGTGTGTGTTTCAAAGCCAGTCCTAAGTATACTTATATCTGAACTATTTCTGGAAATACATATTGGAAGGCTCTGAGGAGGGGGAAATGGATGGGGCCCTCTTCCTCTGTATTGTTCTATTTCCATGTTCGTGGAATACTTTTATTGAAAAATGTAAAGAGGCTATTTAATATAACAGGCATAGCTTCTATTAACCACCTTGGGGTAGGCACTCGAAGAAGAGGGCGGCGATGTCGCAGGAAAAGACATCCCAGAAACCCTGCCACAGGCCGTTTTCTGCCTGACAATCACGTCTCATCATCATGGCTGCCGTTGTTACTTAAAACCCTGTGGAGGAGTGCCCGGGTCTTCTTAGGTGGGTCTCAGTATTCCAATTTCACTGACGCTGAAGAGTAGTTGATTGGTTGTCCGAGCTCCTCAGCAGAGAGGGGTCTGGGGGCCCCCTCTTTCACTGCCAGTAGAGTAGACATTGCCCCTCAGTCTTCAGGAGCCGCCAGTTTTGGGGAAGGACCTTTGGAAGCCCCAGCAGCGCCCCACCTGGATTGTGCTGGTGATCCAGCAGCCGCCCAGAGAGGCCTGAGAAACCTGAGGGAGATAGCTATAATCCGCCCAAATCGGCTGTGGGGCCCAGAGAGGGGAGAGAAGAAACATTAAGAATGACCGCATGTGGATGATGCTCTGTAACTTTATGGGCTGTAGATACCATTGGTACAACCATTTTACAGATGAGGAAACTGAGGCCCAGAAAAGCTATGTTATAGGTCCCATGTCACACAGCTTGTGAGTGCCAGAACCGAGATTCCAAAACCAAATCCCCTTGACTCTAAAGTTTGTACTCCTCACCCCATAGAGATCCTGTTTGGCTTGGCCACTTAAAGGAGGTCCCCACAGCAGCAACCCTTCCTCACCAACCCCATGCATAGAGACATTAACCCCTCGTCTGCAAGGTCACCATCTCCTGCAGTGGAGATAGTGACCTGCCTGGGCTGGGCAGCGGAGCAGGCTGATAGAGCCTCCTACTGAGTGGGGCCTATGTCTGGGGCCTCTCCTCCAGGGTTGTCCAGAGGCATTAGGCTTGTCCAGGTGGGCTTCCTAAAAGGGGTGGGGGGCCTGGAGGCAAGGATGCGGCCCCGCTGGTCAAGACAAACCTGAGTGAGCACTGGAGAAGGCTGGGTCTTCACCTGGTGGGTGGTGGGAATGGGCAGGGTCTGAGGGTCTGACTCTGTTAGATGGTCCAGCCTCCCAGTCCCCTGGCTGCCGGTCACCTGCACCCCTGCAGACTCTGCTTCTCATCTGGGGTCCCTGGCCTGAAGGGGCCTAGCAGGAAGATGAGGACACTCCTGGCCTGCCCCATTGCTTTCCAGAGGCTGGCCTCACGGGAGGCTCTGGAACGGCTGAAGCGGTGGAAGTGGAAGAACAGAGATCTCACCCGGGCAACTTGAGTCACTGGGACTCTTCCAAGACCAGTGAGTGGGTCCCCCCGGACAGAGCTGAGGGAGGGCTAGGGCAAGTTCTGGGCAGGAGGCTTCTTCCTATCCTGTGAACCCCCTGCCCTTCTCTCCCCAACTCACAACAAATAAAGTTTCTTTGCAAAGTCATCCATGTCTCGCGTCAGTTTTTCTGGGAAGACATGGGTGAAGAAAGTGAGACTCAGCCAATAGCAAAGAGAATTCATGGTGTGTGGGGTGTGGCGGGGACCCTGGCATGGATGGGAAGGGTAGAGGAAGACGCCTCCCAAGGACTTGGACAGGCTGTCTCCCTGACCTGGGCTAGAGGCCTTTGGGTTAAGAGGATGAAGGCCACTGGCTGGCCCAAGGGCTACCTGTAGCCTTGAGGGTGGCAATCCCAGGTATTGTGATTGCCCTCAAGAGGGGGGCGCTGGAGGTTCTCCATCGTGAGGCAGCCCCCAAGCTCCTCCTCAGCCTCCATTGTGTCTTCTCATTTCATCCTCACAATGACCTCATAAATCCTAATCCCAGTTTACAGACTAGGAATGGAGGTTCAGAAAGGCTAAGAACTATGCAAAGCCACAAACCTGAGAAGCATTCGAGTTGGGCTCCAGCTCTTATGTCTGTGACCAGAATGGGATGCAAAGAGCCTCCTGAAAGCCCCTGACAAGTTTTTTCATGCATGAGCAAAATCACAGCATTGGTTCTCATGAGGCCCTTGGATCCCAGATTAATAATCAACACTTGCTGGTGCCAGGCACTGTTCTGAGGGCTTGTGCATGCCCTAGATCATGGTTTAATCCTGAGACATCTCTATACATAACTGGGCACTATTCCTGATTAACCAATGGAGAGCGTGAGGCCGGGTAAGCTGACCAAGGTGGCCCGTGGGTGTGGGTGCAGCCAGGGTGCCAGCACAGGCATGCCTGTCCACATGCCAGGCACTTAACCACTACTCGCTATGCTCCCCCTCACCCCCCGCCCCCGCCCCGCTCCAGCCTTTCGCCGAACCGGCCTCGCCCTGCCCCACGACCCAAGCGAAAGTTCCCTCACACCTTCCCCACGGCAGCCAGGCCACGTTTTGCCCCGGGCTGCGAGGCAGGGTTTGCACCACCCACCGGCAGGCGGCGCTGTCCGGGGCGCCCGGCTCCACTCCCCCCCGCGCGGGCCGCACTCCTCCTGGCAGCGGGCTGGGGCCCCAGGAACTCCAGGAGGAGCCAAGACCCCGGCAGGAGGGAGAGGACTGAGGGGCTCGCGGCACAAAGAGCTTTTTATTTAAATTTGTTTAGAGTTTCGCGAATTTGCATGAAAAATGTGTGAGAAAAGCCAGCTCCGGTGACCTCATCCGCACCTGCCATTAACGTTCAATTAGCGGCTGAATAGCGGCGGCCGACGCGACGTGAAGAGAATCCGGCCGAACCCGCGCAGCTCCGGCTGCGGGCCCGGCCCCGAGTGGGGCTAGGGGAGCAGGGGCCTTAACCCACACCCCGACTCTGAGAGACGCGGGGACCCAAGAACCCTCGAGCCTAAGACAGTTTGGGGCGCACCAGGGGCTCCCAACCCGCGCGGAGAAAGGCGGGCTGAACCCGGTCCCGACTCAGACGGGTTCCCTCGCCACCTTCGGGACAAAGTGTCAAGTACAAGTTCAAGTTCAGGGCCATGCCCGGGGATGGGGGGGACGGGGACCGCGGAGCCTGCCCTGGCCGCCTTTGTTCTGCAAGATAATTGCTCCCAATTCCCCTCCAGGCGGGACCCTGCGGGCGCCCCTCGCCCCCCAGGAGCCGCTTCCTCCCGCCCGCGCGGCGCCTGGCCCCTGGCCCTGGCGCCCCCGCTCGGGGCCACCGAAGGGTCTGGGGGCTCCGGGGAGGCGCAATTCGAGTCCGTGGGAGTTTCCCCGGCCCCGCAGTCCGAGCGGCAAGCCCAGCTCGGTCGGACGGATGCTCGCGCCGAGGTAAGAGCCCTTGGCGGGCTTCGCGCGCACCCCTTGTGCCCCGCCCCCCCCCTTTGCGGACGGGTGCGACCTGAGGAACAGGGCGGAGGGTGGGGTGGGGTGCTGCAAAGCAGCTGGGCGGCTGGGCAGCTCTGCCGGGCCTCCGGGGGGCGCGCTGCTGCCCCAGGCCTGGGGAGGGGGTGCACAGAGGGCGAAGGCGCCAAAGTGCCCGCCCGGTGAGGTCGCCCGCCTTTCCGCGAGGGCGCCTACCTCACCCCGCTCTCGTCGATAAGCCTCTGGGTCTCCACTTCTGCGTCGCTAGTCCTGGTTCTTCCTCACCTCCTCTCAGATTCTGTCTAGAGGGCCCCCCCCCAGGTAAGAATCTAGCCCCCAGGCCGTGAGGCTCCCCCTGGAGAGCCGGAGGTGCGCGTGTGGCGCAGCTCGGAGGAGAATCAGCCGTGGGCATGCCTCCCCACCCCTATCTCCAGCACCTCAGTTAGAGCCCTGGGCCCAATGGTGGTAGCTGGGGCGGGGTGGAGTGCGCTGTGATTTCATGGCAGTGCAGGGGCCCATGAGGGATCCTTGTTGCCGCCGGTAGGACCTCTTGCTGTTTCTGTGTGGGGACAGGCGTCAGCTTGTACCTCACCCAGCCAACACACTGCCAAGCTGAAAAGGGGGCACAGAGGGCTGCTTCTGAGCAGCCCCAACCTTGTACCCTGTTCCTGCCTTTCACCCTCAGATGCTCACTCGGAGCTCTTTTCGCGTTCTCGTGCTTTACACACAGTTCTAACACCCACGATATCTGGTTTTTAAATGCACAGCGAATTAGAAGTAGCAAATTTAAAAGGGGGGAGATGGCCTGTTCCCTGAAGCCACAACGCTCCCCTTTTGTGTTCCCTCCTCTCTTCTTCTCTGTGGAGTCCTCAAATTTCTCATTTCTGGGATTTTACTCATGATAAAGTTTCTGCCTTCAAGAGTATACTCCTTCCCATCTCCACTTGGCCAAACTTTAGCAAGTGTCTCCTCCTGCAGGAGGTCTGCCCAGATTGCCCCCACATCTCTCTCTCTCTCTCTCTCTCTCTCTCTCTCTCTCTCTCTCTCTCTCTCTCTCTCTCTCTCTCTCTCTCTCTCTCTCCCTCCCTTTCTCTTCCTCCCTCCCTCCCTCCCGCTGCACTCCCAAGCTGAAATGACTCAATAGACAATGAATGAAATCGGGGTTTTTTGTATGGCTTAATAAAAAATCAAGCACATACATTTTTAAAACAGTGAAAGGTTGAGTTTTTTTAAAAAAAATTGGCTCAAACTGAGCTAACATCTCCCAGCCACTCCTCTCTGCGTTCCAGTACATACAAGGTCTCATTCACAAGCAAGAACCAGCAGGAAAAGGCTGGTTCCAGATACTCTGGTAAAAAGAAAGGAGAAAAAGTCTATGCAAATTGCTTTAAAATTGAAACGAGAAGTGCCAGAAGGGAGTCCCTCAGCTTCTTTAGGCCTCCGTCTTGATCTGACTGGGTCCTTCAAAGGGCCTGGAGGGGCTGAGCTTTCAGGCACTGCATCAAACCTTGGGCCCTCCTGCAAAGCTCCAGCGGGGCCACCAGGAAGTTGGCTAAAAATGGAGACTGTGACCTACCTAGTGCATGTCTTTCTGTTAGAGATGATTCATCACTGACACACTCATGTCAGATGAGCCTGGGAAGATGTTTCTTTTTAAAAAAGGGAAACTGAAACCATTTTTTTCCTACAAAACCATCTGTAGAGGATGCTCTAGACCCTTCCCCTCCCTCTTGGGAAGATTCTCCCTGGGTTATTCTGACATCTTGGACAAACCACTATTTTTGGTCACAATAGCCATGGTTCCCAACTCGTGGATGGTAGAACTAGGAAATTTAAGGCAGCAGTTTGCAAAAGATGGTGTAAATACTACTCTGTAATAAACTGAGAGAATGAAAACTTATTACTAATATAGATTAACTCCCAGCTAAAGGAGAATAGATCTTGTTATTCGCCCTCTTTTACAAAAGAAATAAGTGTGGAGGGGTTAAATAAATTGCCTTCAGTGTCACAGCTAGAAAGAGGTTCAGGTGGACTTTGAACTTGTGCAGGCTGCTTTAGACTCAACATCCTTGACTCTACTACCAACATTCTAGCTTTGTTCCTAAGCTAGTCGCTGAAAATGCTTCCCAAATCACACGTTACATGGCTTTTCTTGCTTTCCTTATCACACAGAAACAGAAGGAGGTAGATGGTGAGGGTGAAGAGCCCAGCCTTTAAAGTCTTGCATTCAAACCCTGACTCACTCACTTTCAAACCATGTGACTTTCGCCAAATCTCCATGTCCTCATCTGTAAAATGGGCTTGTGAATCGAGCTCATGGGTTTGTTGTGAAGTTAAAATAAGATGTTGTGCTTGGCCCACTGCCTGAGACATTGTAAATCTATCCATGAGTGAAAGCTGTTATTATGCTTTTAACAGTAACCACCTTTAATGACAATGTTAATGTCACTTTGCATTTTCAAAAAAACCCCAACAGCCCTCCCCCTCAGAAAAGAAAAAATGGACACAATTGGTCTCCACATGTTTTAGCCAAGCACCTGAGGGGATGCCTGGATTGTGGAAGAACAGCAGCTCTGCTCTGTAGACAGATAACCCCAATATTTTCAATACAGATTCTTGAAACCTGTGCTTCCTAGAGCCTAACTGCTTAGAGATGTGTGTGTGTGTATGTGTGATGGGGTGGGGGCAGTTGGAAGAAGGACCCTGTAGATAACCAAGAAAATTAGAGGCTGAGACAGAAGATTATTAAAGAATCAGAGATGTGTTCTTTTTTTTTTTTCTCTTAGCTATAAAATCTGACCATCATCTCCTCATGAGGAAAATAAATGAAGACTAGACCCTGCTACACATGCAGATCCGGTGAGTGGACACCTCTTCCTCCTTTCATTGACTTCATGGCTATTGAGAGTGCTTGTTCTGTGCCAGGCGTCGTTTTTTTTAGGGCATGGGAATCCAACAGAGAACAAAACAGAAAAACTCCTGGCCTCAGGGAGCTGACATTGGTATGTGTGTGGCCTCTGTGGGTGAAACTGAGGAGAGGGAGAGAGAGACTGACTCAACTTCCTTCCATATCAGAAAATGAGTAAAGGACCGAGGCAAAGAGGTTCCTCAGGCAACGTGCTTATTCCTGGGGTGCTGGGACCCGGGGAAGGCTGAATCCTGGCAGCGGTGCAGGGATAAAAATGGTGACAAGTCAGCGAAGGAAATCAAGAGGGCTGGGAAGGGGTAAGGNCGAAGAAAAGAAGCTCGGCCTCGCTGGAATGAGCCCAAACACAGCCGCTCTTTTTTTTTTTTTTGGAATATTGTAGGAAAAACACAAGATCCTATTTTTCTTGATGATTAAAGGGAAGTGATGGATGGGGTGGGCCATTTGCATTAGGTCAGACCCAGGAACGCGGAGGAGGAATTCGGCAGATATTCTTCAAACTAGGAACGGCTGGAAATTCCCGTGTCTCCAGGCTTTCTGGCTACACATTGTGCTCAGGCGGCCCCTGCGCAGGGAGAGCCCGGCGTTTCTGCGTCGCAGCCCGCAGCCAGCAGCCCATGCAGGCTCGTCTTGTGGCCGTGGAGTCAGCCCCGCGCCTTCCCCGCCCTGAGAAGGAGAGGGGGCCTGGAAAGGCTGGTGGAGGAGTTCCCTCCAGCCCACAGGGCATCCAACAAACCCCTTACCCTCCGGTGCCTCCTCCGCGCCTCAGAATCTAGAGGCTAAGTCGCCTTCTGACGCTTTATGTTATATGGAGAAATTTCTGGAATTTGAATTCGTTGCTCTTGTCTGTTTGCGTTGAATGCCCCTGTGGCCGGGGTATGTGTGCTTCCAGGGGGAATCTTTGGATTTCTGGGCAGCTGGCTACAGGGAGGGGCTTAGGGGATGGGGAGCAGAGGGCGCCTGAGCCCCCTCCCCAAACACTGGGACGGGCCACTGAAGTGAGGCCGGAGCTCAGTGGCACCCATAAGGACTTAACTCCCCTCCGGTCAGTGCCCCCGTTTTCACTCTTCTCAGCCACACCCGTGGTTCAGTCCCTGCTGTTCCTCTTGGCTCCATCACAACTTCCCCAAAAGACCGTGGAGGAGCAGAATGGAACAGGAGCTGGGCAACGCAGCTCCGGGGCTGGTTTGCCCACTGGCAGGGCACAGCCAGGCCTGAGGCCTGGGCAGCCATCTGGGAAACGCTCGGGACTCAGGCGAGGACCTCTGGGCTACATGTGGGCTACCGCTAGGGCCGAGAGCCCGGCCCTCTCCACCCAACGTGGCTTGTCTTCAAACAGGCCGCCCTCCCTAGCCTCCCCTACTTGTTGCCCAATTTCGTCTTGGTTCTTCCAGACGAGTGGCCCGCAGAAGTTTCTTTGTCCCTATGACAGGAGCGTGTGGGGCCGCCAGGCCTGGAGCTGAGAAGCCTAGAGAAGGCTTATGGGGTTTGGCCTGGATTAACCGGGAAGCTTGGGCGAGAGCACTGCGGGTTTGGGGCTGGGGAGGGGGCCACGTGAAGGCCCAGGGGGAGAAGGGAGTGCCAGGGCGCTGAAGCCTATTTGATCTCACAAATGGGCTCCACCAAGCAGACCCTTGCTCTCCCATCTCATCTCAGGAGTACATGTGGCTCCTGGATAGT